CTCTCTCTCTCTCTCTCTCTCTCTCTCTCTCTCTCTCTCTCTCTCAGATGCAAAGTTACATATTTAGGACTTATTAAGTTACTGAAGAGAGGAGATTGCAGAAAGGGAGGGAAGGGGGAAAGGAAGGAAAGAAATCAAAATGAAGAAAGATAAAAGGGGTGGAAAACAAGAAAAGGAGGAAGGAAAGAGTGTAGGAAGGAGAGAGAGAGAGAGAGAGAGAGAGAGAGAGAGAGAGAGAGAGAGAGAAGAGAGAAGAGAGGAGAGACCCAGATCCCAGATCCCAGGGACAGTTCCTCTGAGCTTGTAGCTTAGGCTGTTTGGCAAATGCAGGTGAGTCCTGGGTTCTCAGAGCTTCTCTGGGAAGTCACATCATTTGTGGTCTCTGCATGGTGTCCTGGTGTGGCGAGGAGTACCAGTGTGAGTAGCCAGGCATGTAGCTGTTGGGGGGCATGCTAACGCCCTTGGTGGAGGCAGAAACGTCCCACACTGGAGGAAGTGCTGGCGAGCGAGGTGACAGGGCTGCTGAACCTGGGAGAGGGTCACTCTCATGGGGGTTACTGCCCTGCTTCAGCAATTTCTTAAACTTAGAGCGTTTATTCTGAAACCATATCTTCACCTGCAAGAAATGCAGAAATCATTAGGCCAGATAAACATCAAATCGGTGCCTTCAATTATCATCCTGGGCTCAAGAAGCAATATAAAAACAAACAACAAAACCATTGCAATTCCAAAAAACAATCCCTTCACCTCTTTACAGCCATCTCCACTTCTCTACTGTAGGCCTACTTGCTATCTTGCTGGGATACCTACAGTTCTTGTGATTCTTGGGTTGAATCCTAGCCTGGGCTTTAAAGCATCAACATAAAATTACAAATAAATCAAATGAGATGGGTGGATCAAAATTTTATGAACATTGAAGTGAAGTAGATTTTGGGTCAAAATCTTACAACTGAATTTACCTCCTCCAATTACTTAGTTTTATGTTTAATAACCTCCAAAACTCGCAATGCTATGCAAATCCAAGTAGCAAATGACTATGAATTGATTAAAGGCTGCATTTTACAAGCAAATCGCTTGATCATACCTGTGTATATCGTGCATACACCACGGAATATGACTGAGATATCTTTGTCCAGACATAAATACCTTCCCAGTCCTGCAGGGATTAAGAAACGCACCATCCCCCATTTCCTATCTAGTATGTTACTTAAGCAAACAGAGGCCATCAATCATCACATGATTGGAATAGCTACTAAAAGTCAAAGGCCTCTGAAAACCACATGTGAATCAGAAATCTGTGTTGGCAGCTCATTTAGGACAACAACCCAATTTTGTGATGAAAGAAAATCTACGAAGCAGCTTTACCTTTAAAATTCCTAAATCTGTTTTTCCAGGAATAAGAGTCATGGAGTATCTAGAGTATCATAGGAAACCTCAAATATTTTCAGTGGCACCATGACACTAGAAATCAGGCTGATGGGAAAGAACTTAGGGAAGTGGCCTGCAGACACCAACACCGTTCTACACAGTCTGGGCGACTGTCTTGTAAGACCTGAAGCACCCTTGCTGCATGAAGGTGATGAATGTCATAGTAGGCCTCTTCAGCCTATGCAGTTGGTTTAACCCAGGATGGTCTGAGAGGGCAGCCTAATCTAGTCACCTCCAGGCCCCTTTCTGTGAAATCTGGACCATTCTGCACATCTCTCAAGTGATCAGGACTATTATTTGTGGTGTTCCAGGCCATAATTGGGGGAATATTCTCTTTGTTTTTCAGTTCTGTCAAGTTCTAGACTACAGCAAAGTACCCCAACCCGTACTATTTGGTACAGGATGACGTAACCACAGAACTTAAAGCAATCTTCAAAAATCCCTACCTTACCCATCCTGGAGGGAATGGCTTGCACACATTCACAGCTTTGGGAAAATGTGTCTAATGAACTTGCTGCTTGTCTCAGCTCTTAAGTTTCCTTCCTATGTCAATGAGTTGAAATTCTTATTAGCTCTCCAGGGGTCACAAAAAGGTCCTTAAGAAAGGGTCTTATTTTGCTTACTAGCTGGACAACCCCCAACACTCTCCTCTCTCTCTCTCTCTCTCTCTCTCTCTCTCTCTCTTTCTCTCTGTCTCTCTCTTTCACACACACACAATTGTTTTGTGTCATGTTATTATGCTCTGAAATCGGATTTGATTGAGCTATGCTTTTGTTCACCAAAAGATGCTAGGCTCAGCTGGAGTCGCAGAGGGTTGGTGTATATGCAAATCCAATCCAGTTTTCAATACCATGTCATTTGTTCCAAACTGTGTGATTCCGTGAAAATGCGCAACTGGAACATAAACATTTGTCATTTATCTCCTTCCATCCTTGGTTGACTAGGCCAAGAATTCCTCCTGGTGTGCTCTCTGCACGGTTTGCCAGCGGGCCAGCATTTTCAGGGGTACTCGGGCTTCTCGGGAATTACCTGTGTTTGTGTCAGTCCTAAGGAAGCTGCCAGTTCGGCTCTCTCGGGAAGGGCCAGGTATTGAGTCTGCTGGAAGCGATGATTTAAAGCCTGGAGCTGCAGGCTGGAATAAATGGTCCGAGGCTTCCGAATCTTTTTCCCCTTTCCGTTGAACCTGATTTCCCCGTTTTCAATCACTGTAGTTTTTTGTTGATCTGTAAGCAAATGACACAGAGGAGCGTGAGGCCACTGCTGCCTTCTCCCTTCCTGTGACAAGGCCTGCGGGGAGTTCTCCCAAACTTAAAAATGGTTCCTCGTAGTATCCCCACCATACCCGGAACTCCCTGGGTCCACTGTGACTGTGTGTCCCCAGAGGCTGTGGAAGTTTCTCTCGGATCGAGCCTCTAGGCCTAACAATGCCTGGTGGTGGTCCAGTCTCGGAAGCCCGCTGCATAAAAGCGGCACTCCGCAGCAGCGGAGACAGCGCCGGCGGCTTTCCGGAGTCCGGGACTCCGCGAGGTTTCTGCTCTCTGGGCCGAGAGCAGTTTCTTGGCCTGGCTTTTTACAATGCCTGAAGCTGTATCTGAGTCACCCGGGTGTTTGCGTGCCCACTTGGTTTTGTGTCACTAAGCTGCAAGCTTAGTACTTTAAGTCCCTTCCGTGTGTTCGAAATGATTCTGCTCGCGTGGATCAAAACCCAGAAACAAAACACAATCAGCAGCTCAGAGCAGCCTCAGGGCAGGCTGCAGCTCTCCGGACAACAGAGAGCTATCAACCCCAGGCCCTCTGCTTCGCCCCCAAGAACAAAGGAGCAGCCAAAGTAATATCGAAAAACCCAGAGAGAGGGGTGCGGGTCAGGATGGGAGCAGGGGACACCTCAAAGCGCACAGCGGTAAGAAAAAGCCCAATAGTCATTAGTTTAAATGAATCTATCGGCCGCAACAGCTTCGTTACAAGTCACTAAGGCGCACCAGGTGCCCCACGCAAAGTAGGCCCCTGAATGCCCAGTGTGAGGTAGGCAGCCTAACTAGCTCTTCAGTCCGAGCCCAAAATTGTCCCCAGTCTTGACAAACGCGGGATACTGCGAAAGGAAAGGGACAAGGCAGAGGGAGCTCAGAGCCCTTGGCTGGAGGGCGCAGTAAGGGACCTTGGAGCGAGACAAGCGCACAGCCCGGGGGCGCAGTGGGAACAGCGCGCTCAGGAGGCAGGGAAGCCAGGCTGGCCGCAGGGCCAGCCAGCCAGGGGTCCGCCGCGGCGGGAAGGGGGGCCCGGCTGGGAGAAGCCGGCAGGCAGGCGCC